CCTTTTCCCTACATTCTATGCTTTTTGTAATGCTTGCCATTTCCAGATGTCTTGATCAAGTAACGATGTGGCCACATTACACGGGGGATTCTCTTCTTTGGTGCTGCACAGTCCTCCATGATACAGAGAGTGCTGTTAACATGTTGTCAGTTCTGCCCTCTGCTATAATACAGTGTGAGTGCAGGATGCTGTGGTTACACCCACAGGGTGGGTCCATTACACACTACACCAGGGGTAGGCAACCTTGGCTCTCCAGCTGTGCTGAAACTACAAATACCATCATGCTTCTGCCTCCGGGAGTCATGCCTGTGGCTTGCAATGCCTTATCGGATTTGTAGTTTCAGCACAGCTGGAGAGTCAAGGTTGCCTACCCCTGCACTACACTCACCGGATATCCATAGGGTGTAAGGACTTGGGTTTCTTTGAACCTGGAAGACTGAGGACATCTAGTGGTGAACATGAATTACTACAGATGACAGCACTGTGCATGGATTTAGTTTTACTCCTGGGGCAGCATTTCAAAAAATAGCCCAGAATTTGGATTTACCATTTCACAGTGGTAATGTTTTTAGGTGTATTCTGTCGCTCCTCAACTGTGTATGTTACTATTGTAATACAATAAAATGACCCTGTCAAAGTATGTGGGCTTCCATTACTTTCCTTCTTCTAAATATGCTAGTTACCTGGCTGATGTTATTATTTATTGAGTTGCAATCCCAGGAAAACCTGTTAAAGAGTTTCAATATTCTTTACCTCCATACTTGTTCCAGGTCAGGGACTCGGGAAGCACTGAAGCCAACCCATCAGCATGACAGCCAGGCAGCTCCATAAGCCCCCATGAGTCTCCCATGACAGCTTTCTTTAAACTCAAGTTAGTAAAATATTCACAGAATGGAGAGTGCACCAGGGCACTTGAGTTGAGGACATGTAGGCACTTAAGGAGCACCTACCAGACATATTTAATACGTGTATAAGCTACCCTGCTGTTGGAATACTTTAGGGCTTAGTATTCCTGGGGGAAGAGATGTATTATAAGTCCCATGGGCTCCAAGAGCAGATTTAGCAGAGTTCCTTGCATTTCTTCCTTTCTTTTTTAGCCAACCTCTAGCTGTTGCTGTTTTAGCTAGACTGATGACTGCCTATAATAAGGATGTTTATCGATGACAATTGACAAGGCCCTATCCACCTCTTCTATTTCTGCAGCTTATTGCAAGATACAAGAATGATGATTTGCTGAACAAGCTTCTAAAACAAGTTGATTTCTATGTCATACCTGTCCTAAATATTGATGGATATATTTACAGCTGGACAGATGTAAGTTAATTGTACATGTTTGGTTTTATTTATCCAATGAGAAGAACAAAACAGTAACCAGTTAACATCCAAAAGGAATGATCCTTCAGTTTCTAGAAACTGAAAACTATGAGTATACTACTATTAATTACAGCATTTTAAATATTATCTTTGTTGTGTTCTGCTATGCTGAATAATTCTGATCCTATTACCATTATTGTACATTGAGAGTAAAGTAAGAATCAACTTAAAGTGACATTAAACCCTCAGATTTTTTAACATAAAACAATAGTGTAATGTGTGCCTTACTGTAATCCATGGTTGTTTCCCTTCTCTTTGCTGCTCTTCCTTTTAAATCCTCATGTCTTCTCATGCTTGGGGAGAACTTCCCTTTTCAGCTCAGGGCCTCTTCCTGTAGTGCTGGCTCAGATTACAAGCCTATAGAAACGTATACACAGACACCATGTATCCATTCCTGAGACAAGGCAGTCTGCTCCAAAACAGAAGTTCTGGAGAGCATGAGAACAGATACAGATTTAAAAGGAAGAGCAGCAAAGAGAAGGGAAACAACCATGGATTACAGTAAGGCACACATTACACTATTGTTTTATGTTAAAAAATCTGAGGGTTTAATGTCACTTTAAACCTTTTCAACACAGGCAGTCAGACAGTTGACCTGCAATGGTATTCTGATATTGTCTGTTGCAGTCATTTATCCAGCACTGCTGATTTGTCCAAACCTGTTGAAACTGCAAATATTGGATGACAGTCATTCATGTTTATACAAATCTTCAATGGAAATTATAGTACATTTTAAGTGCAAATTTTTAGCTATTATTGAATGTGTACCTTATTGCAAAGCAAAGCAACTGGTTTTCTTTAATGCCCCTCCCCCTGCAGTTCATATTCATATTCAGTGGCTCTCCTACTGGGAACAAAAATATTTGTTTTAGGCATGAAGGAGCATGTGACTCACTAATCTTCTTCTTGTGTGATAGCACTGGAGCTTGGTGATTGGTCCAGAACTGTCACATTGCAACGGGGAGAGAGTGTCCAAAACAGTGTAAGCTTTGAATATAATGACTCATTCCCAAAAGCTAAACAGAGCAGTGGGGGAGTGAAAAGAAGGTAAGTATGTGCAGCAGGGGGCGACAGCATTAGAGGCAACCTCTTGCTAAGCCCTGGATAAGAAAGAACAGATTTATTTGAAAGTCATTTTTTATATACAAGCTTGATCTACATATTTTAGGTATTGTATTAAATATAGAGATCTAGAAGAGTGTATGTGGGGCTTTCATGGTACACCAATATGTCTGTAGGTACTATACCTAAAACAATATATGATTATTTGATAACATTAAAATCACCATTATTTACATAAAATACTGATTGCGTAGAATATTTAACACAGAACCTCCTGAGACACCATACAGTCCTTCTGTTGGTAATGTTCGTTCATATATACATCTTCCAATATGCCACTTATGTGATCCCAATTAAAGATGAGTTAAGAGCTTCATGAGTTGATGGTGCTGTAGTGGTTTGGATCCTTAATGCGTTTCGCTAGAACAGCTTCTTCATGAAGGGAGGAAGTGCTCTATAATATGCATAAAAACAATAGTATGAATACATACATAAATACAACCTAGATAGATCTCATTAGAGCTATTTGATCACATGATAATGGTTACATGATCTGGTACGGAAATAATCAAAACAATCAATGAGAATACATATGCACATGGCCCCTTGCGGGGAAGGAAGCCGTAGGAGGGGTCAAATCTGGGGGCGACAGCATCTAGGAGTAAAAAAACAAAGATAATATTTGGCATAGCCTATCCGGCACATAAAGCTCCATAATATATCCAACCCACAAATTCCTAGGGGGATACCATAAAACAACAACCAATTAAACTATTTTAAGGATAGGGAGGGATATATTAACAACTAATCAATAACAGGAGCAAGTTATTTTAGGCCCATATACAACATATGTTAGGGACCAGGATGTATATATAGCACATTTCTGACTAATATGACAACAATATGTACATATCTTAAACTACCCCAGACATACTATGGGAATAGCTAGTTAAGCATGTATGGTCCAGTCGTATCTCAGTACACATCCATATGCATGAAGTCAGCTCAGTCCACATAACCCCCCAAAGTTTGATCAATAAAATGTGTAAGAAAATAAAGAATAGAGCTTTACCTATCATCAAATCTGGCCCCTCCAGCATGGTTGAGTTCTAACAGCGTGAATGCTGTCCCAGCCTTTATACCCCTCCCACCGCCCCACGTGATTGTCACTATGATGTCACTAGCATGGTGGGCACAAATGTACTGCGCATGAGCACATAAGGAAACATAAGTATTCATATAATTGTTTTTATGGATATTATCAAGCACCTCCTCCCCTCCTGAAGAAGTTGTTCAAAGGAAGCGTGTTGATTATTCAAACCATGAAAGTACCATTAACTTATGAAGCTCTTAACTCATCTTTAATTGGGATCACGGATGTGGCATATTGGCAAATGTATATATGAATGAACTTTAACAAATAGAGGGACTGCATGGTGTCTTAGTAGGTTCTGTGTTATTTATTGGTATATCTTATTGGTGTACTGTGAAAGCCCCACATACACTCTTCTATTTCTTTGATTTATTTAAGGGGTGTGGTACCCTACACATAGAATCTCGGCCCACTACTTTAGTACGTATATATAGATTTGTAAATTAAACACCAGAGGGAACTCAATAACTGTGTGCAGTTACATTGCCTCTCTCTATTAACAACCACTGAGGTATCAGCCACATAGGAAATACACTTTTCATGAGTCAAGTAATTCAGTGACTTGCTGTGTGAGAAGCAGCTGTAAATCTATTCCGTTGCACTGCAAGGCAGAAATGGGGGCCAGCATGTCTAACAAGCAAATGTCTGTCCCCATATACATATGCAAATGATAAACAGAAACAAGATTTTTAAAACAATCATTCCTTTTGATAAGAATTTGTATCAATATTTACCTAAAAAATGTTTGAAAAGGCTATGCACTCTTTGAAACAGGGATCACTTTAGGTCTGTGAGTTTTGTTATGAGACAGGGGATTTCACTTTTGACTGCCCTAGTTTCAAAAACTGTTCAGGGAGGTGTATCAGGCTGCTGGAGAGTCAGGACACTGTTTTGTGTAAGAGAGTGTGGTCCAACTCTTCCATGTGCTGGCAGCACCGGGTATGTTATCCCTTGCTGCAGCACTTGCTAGTGTAAAAAAAAGGAAAAGATCCAATAATTATTGCTATGTACGCAGCCTGGCTTCATCACAGTAATAATTAACGAGGGTTCAATTAGGCTTTAACATTGCAACATTTAGGCAAACTGAAAATATGAATACCCATATGTCATTTTAATATCAGGAACGTCTTTGGAGGATGAACCGCTCACCACAAAATGGGACTTGTTTTGGAGTGGATCTAAACCGTAATTTTGATGTAAAATGGTGTGGTAAGTACTAGCAAGTTCTTACATATTGCTCAGAAATGAGAGACAAAGGGCCTGATTTACTACAGGAACTGAACAAGGGCAAGAATAAATCACAATGGGGGGAATTTATCTGTATAAAGTTGCATGCCTATGTTCTCTCAAAATAAGGAGTCTCAAAATAACCCAGCCGAAGTGAAGTGAGCTGAATGCTCTTCGGCTATTCACTTCAGTCTTGTATGGCTGATTTCAGCCGTACATCGGCTAAAATCAGCCGTATCTCAGTTGCCTACGGTCAGCTGAACATGCAAAGCGAAGTGCACACTCACCAGACCAAGATGTTTATAGGCAGAGAAAGATGAGATGACAGTCGATGAACTCACAGCCGTCTCGTCCTTATCCCATGGATCATTAATTTATCGAAAAAATATAAAGGAACAAGAACTCCTCATGGTGTAGTCGATAAAGGTTTATTTAAACAAAACAAAGTAGCCACTTACAATTAAAACGATAAAACCGGCCGCTCACACGATGTAAGTAAAGCTTCTGCACTTCCTGGTTGTGCGTGGTATTGAGAAGTATAGCCCCGCCCCGACGCGTTTCGTCATCTGAGGACGTCTTCAGGGGGATCGCAGGTCTAACCTTCAATACCACACTGTGATGTATTTATATTCTACCTCTAGGTCGATTTGCCAGACCGCCACTAGATGTCCTCAAATATTTATATCATGCCATAGTAGATATGTAACCTATTTATTGGAGTGCCCGTGTGGGCTCCAATATGTTGGCAGAACGACTAGGCAATTGAAGAAAAGAATCGAAGAACATGTCAACAATATTAAGAAAGGTTTTATGAAGCATAATCTCTCCAGGCATTTTAAACTTTTTCATAACTGCGACCCAAGACAACTGAAAATCACGGGAATTGATAGTGTAGAGAAACACTGGAGAGGTACCAATCTCATCCAGAAGGTTTCCCAAAACGAATCCAAATGGATTTTTATATTGGATACCCTAACACCTAAAGGACTAAACGTCGAATTTGACCTAAATTGCTTTTTAACCAATAAATAATCCTCTTTTTCTCCTCCTACTTGCAATAAAGTATTTTAGATCTATATATTCATTTTTAGTGTTAAACGATAATAATATCCGTTTTTAAAAAATATTTTCTAAAAATTACTATCAGTGTGGTATTGAAGGTTAGACCTGCGATCCCCCTGAAGACGTCCTTGGATGACGAAACACGTCGGGCGGGGCTCCCCCTGAAGACGTCCTTGGATGATGAAACGCGTCGGGCGGGGCTATACTTCTCAATACCACGCACAACCAGGAAGTGCAGAAGCTTTACTCACATCGTGTGAGCGGCCGGTTTTATCGTTTTAATTGTAAGTGGCTACTTTGTTTTGTTTAAATAAACCTTTATCGACTACACCATGAGGAGTTCTTGTTCCTTTTTATTTTTTCGATAAATTAATGATCCATGGGATAAGGACGAGACGGCTGGGAGTTCATCGACTGTCATCTCGTCTTTCTCTGCCTATAAACATCTTGGTCTGGTGAGTGTGCACCCTAGAGGGGATTTTTTGACGTGGACACTTCGGTGTGGAATTTGTTTTCATTGTCAACACGCTGCTTTCACTGGAAGTTCTAATCATTGTTGGACTCACTTTATTATATTCCTTTTGGATTCACTTTTTTATATATCACTTGGACTGATATATATATATATTCTTATATGTGAGGCACTATTGTTTAATAATTTTTTGATTTTTGGAATTTATTTATCTAAATTCTATGCACTTTTTGCACTTTTGAGATTTATGTATCACTTTGACTTATATTTGAGACTTTATATGGGAGGCACCATTGCTTACTATTAGATAAGCAATTAATGTCTGATTTATACACCTTTGCACAATTTGAGATTATCTATTCACATGCTAATTTTGTTACACTGAGTTGATTCACTATTTGGTGACCCTGAGCGCTGCACATTCAACTACATACCACTTGACCCTAGTGTCTTTAGTACAGCAGCTCCATAATATTTTAATAATATTTTTATCTATTCCTATTGATTTCATTTAATTTTATTTATTTGTTTTATTTACCCACATATATCCTAAGCGCGGATTATACATACTTTATAAAGTGAAGTGCTACACTGAGGCGAAGTGCAGAAGGAGTTCGACTCAGCCGATCCACCATCTGGATCGGCTGAGCCGAAGCTCTGGCAGCTCACTCACTGCCATTTGCTCGTATTCTCATAGAGGCCAAACGGCAGTGAGTGAATAGCTGAGCCGAGCGGCATTCAGAATAGAAAACAAGTGAAAAGAATAGAAAAAAAAAGTTGAAAAAAAATTTAAAAAATTTAAAATAATAGGAACATTTAAAAATACAAATATTTTAAAGAAAAGAAAAGAAAAAAAAAGTGCTGCACGCCGACCCGACCGCATGCGACGGAATCCGGCAAAAACAAAATGCAGGCAAAAGAAAAACATTTGGGCGAAGCTAGCGGTGACAGCCACCTACCAGAGTCTTTTAGCAGGTCCCAGCCAATGAATAACAACTGGGCAAAGCCAGCCATGATGTCCCCCATAGACTTTTATTACAAACCTCCTTCTGTAAATGCTTATTATCTGGCAGACATGATGATCCAAAAGGATTTGAGTTAGTAACTCAGAAATGATTGAAACTATTGCATCAGCATGAAAAACAAGCTACAAGTATTTGCAATAGAAGAGGTCATCATGTGTTTCTCCCAGCACAGATTTCCTTTAACTTATTTTCTAACTGTTTTTATCTGGTGCACTCTTTGTTTCACTGTTCTTCATTGTATCCTTTTCATAGCCTAACCATTTAATTAACTTATTCATGTATTTTCTTGATGTATATAGAGACAGGTGCATCAACAGACTGTGAAAGTATAACTTTCTGTGGGCCATCCGCTGCTTCTGAGCTGGAAACAAAAGCGCTGGTCACTTTGGTAGAAAGGCTCAAGCCAAATATTCTTATGTATCTCACGATGCACTCATATTCCCAATTGATTCTTCTTCCATATGGATACACAAATCTCCCATCTGAAAATCATGAGGAAATGGCAAGTATAATTTTTCTAATTATATTTCTAAAAAGTGAAGTTTCTGGTGACGTGCTGTTTTGATCCCTTTCACAGTAGTTTTTTTAAATGTATCTTTGTCTGGGTAAATCAGGTAATGTTTTTAAGTGCCAAATATCTAAGATCATTGTGTGCAGTAACAGGAGAGTCATGGACAGTGGACCCCTAAATCAAACCTAAACTCTAAGGCCCCCTTCAGATCATTGTGCTCTGTTGCTGTATTTTTCATGTTAACATTTGTTAATGCAGCCCATTTATATAGAAAGGGGCTGGCAATACATAGCAATGCAGAGCACCACAAGGCATGCTATGCAGTATGGAAATGTTGGCATCTACACTAATTCAGCAATAAGGTGCCATGCTAAATGGATGGCACTGCTGCACAATGTGTTACTCTTAGGAGTCTCAAAAGTAAACATGGACAATACCATGGGTGGTTCCACTGAAGAGTCAATATACAACAAATTATACCAAAAAAATCTAATTTCAAGATAAATGTTCAAAACTGGATCCCAAGACCTTCCTGGTCATAAGCAGCCTAGATACATGGGACACTACACCAGGAGTGTACTGTGGCAGGACATGGGCAGATTGTGATATTCACCATCCCCTTGGATTCTGTGACAAGAATACAAAACATTTTGTGAATGAACAAGGTGGAGTGTGTCACCCACTATCTTTCACCATATGCACTGTATGGGAGACAGAACTGTTAGTTTCAGCTGCTGGAAGTTCTGCACTTTTACACTAGTGACAGGATGACTCAAACTTAAGCTGGCCATACACCTATAGATTATCTGGAGATTTTCTATGGACAGATGGAAAAAGTGCAATGGATTCCTCCATCTACGCTAAACTGTGTGCCAGAGCCGGTGGGACCAACTAGCAAGGTACTGAAGCTTGGCCCAGTCGATGTCCAGTCAATTCATTTACTTCAGCCAATAAATTAATTGACTGGACGTCGAATTGGAGTGCGAGTGGCTTTCTTGTTGGCAGCCTGAAACACTATCTTACTGCTTTGAAAGTTGATCTCTTCTTTGTGTGCTGCTGCAAAAAGTAGCATAGTACTGTATGTTAATTGCCTGAGCCCCAAAATTTTAAATGTGGCGCCCATAAGTCTTTGCAAAAAAGAAAAAGGTTTTTATCCCGAGTGCTTTAAATGTTTCATGTGAACAGTATTTGGAAAAGCACAGATAACACATTCTTTTTAGTTTTATCGTCCTTGCATAATGCATAATGCAAACTGCATAATGCTGAAATGTTTGGGTATTCTATTTTCTCCCCAAAATACACACATTGTTTTATGGCTACTTTAAATCAGATCTAGACCTTGAATGGTTATGGTTATCTAAGCTTAGTGTCAGTGTTCATACTATAATGTGAATGGTACAGTATCTAAAGCTCTATTAAATAACTTTGAGAAATGTAAGTGAACAGTAATATAAGCACTAACAGAATCTTTTTTAACTATTGAAAAGATAATAAATGCTGCTTCTTTTTACTCAAATGGTTTTTTTTTCTCTCTTTTAGGAAAAAGTTGGAAAAAAGGCAGCTGAAATAATGACAAACTTATATAATGAGCCTTATCATGTGGGATCTACATCAGTTATATTATGTAAGCAGACAGATACAACTGTTATACTAAATATGTTTTGTTTTGCACAGCTAGACTCAATACCAGATCACCCACAATGCGACCTAGGCAGGGCTAGGGCCCAGTCAATGTTTAGAGGGCCTGCCAGGAAAAAAAACTATTGGCTCAGTAGCAGAGCATTTACTGCTATGCACCCACATGTCACTTAGGGGGCATTCATTTTGCTTTCTTTGGGGGTCCCCCACCATCCTGCTCGAGTACCTCCCACCACTGCTTCTTTTTGTGCCACCTACCTTACAATTCACAGTGTGGGTAGTGCTGAATGAGGGAGTTTGGGGATGCTGGCCCATCTTACAGTGGCTGCTTACAAAGAGGCAGATATTTTAAAGAGGCGTAAGCATTCTATGTGTTATTTAAAGGATGGTTGCCATTTATTAGTAAAGAATTTGTTCTTGTACACAATAAAATGCAGATTTAGGGGTTAATTTATAAAAGTTTTATGCTACAGCCTGGGCAAATGCCATTAGCACAGCACTAGCACCCCTAGGTGGCATTGATGAGTATAGGAATTTCCGAGTGTAACTTTTATAAATATATCCCTTAGTATGATATAATGTAGTGTTGTAGTTTGATGTGATTTTACATGTGCTTGATGTGCTTTGCTGATGGTAGTCTGTTCTGTAGGTATGTTGCAGTCGTGACTGCTTCTCCCCAGTACTTCTTACGTAGGTTGGTGGCTGACAGCATGCATCTGGCCATTTCTATAAGAGTGAGATTTTTTGCGTTCTGCTACACCATTTTGTTTAGGAGCTTATGGTGTGGTGGTCTATACCTTGTTTCTTCAAGTAGGATTCAACTTCTTTACAGATGTATTCCCCTCCATTGTCTGTGCATATAATTCCTGGTTCCTGTTGGAATTTGTTGCTGGACATGTCTGCAAACTCTTGAAGTTTTTCTGATGTTTCATTCTTGTGCTTCATCTGATAAGTTGTTGTGTACCTGGAATAATCATCAATTAAAGTCAGTAGATATCTGTTCCCACCTGATGTGGGAGTTTTCATTGGTCCGCACATGTCACTGTGTATGAGCTCCAAGGGGGTCGGTGGTTTTTCTTTAAGTGGCTTGTGCAAGTGGGGTATGTGTGGTCTTTGCTTCCATACAGCATTTGCATGTCATGAGCATTTGGAAGGGCAGTACGGTTATATCTTCTGATAAGCCTCTCTTTATAATGTCTTTTATGGCTTCTGGGTTTTGGTGCCCTAGTCGTCTGTGCCATAGATGGATACATTTGTTATATGGATTATGGTTGGCTGTTTGACTTGCTCGTCTGCAGTGATGCGTCTGTACAGGTATTCATCCAATTTTCCTTTTTTGAGGATTTGCTTATTGTTTCGAATTGTACACTCATCACCTCTGAATTGAACGGTGAGACCGTAATTAGCAAGGGTTTTCACTGATAGTAGACTTCCTTCAAGGTCTGGAACATACAGCACATTTTTCACGAGGATACTCTGCTTGTCCCCTGATGGTGTGATGCAGTGAAAAAATCCTTGACCGTTACCTTTCACAGTAATACTTTTCCTGTTTCCTAGGAAAATTTGTATCCTTTGCACTGAAATCAAGGTCTGTGAAAAAGGTCTCATCACTAGTCATGTGACTCTTTGCTCCTGAGTCAATACACCATCCGCGTGGTATACTGTTCTAAGTCACTTTAAAGGTAGCACTCCATGATGCGCATGCAGTTTCCCTAGTGGCAGCCTTATCCCTTTCTTTTGTAAGTGCTTCTCACTTTCTCTGCCCAGCTTCCCAGACAGAACACTCCTTTTTATGTGACCAGTCTTTTTACAACAAAAACACGCTCTGCTTTCTTTGTTTTACTTTGCGCTCTCATGCACCTTTAAAGGCTTTCTCATTTTCTTCATTGTGCATACACTGAGTGGCCAGATTATTATGACCACCTCATCAGTACTTCGTTGGGCCACGAGATGACTCCACGAGATGACTTAGTTGGGCTGCCTCGTGACTCCACAAGATGTTGAAAGGTGATGCGAGGAATCTGACACTGCACTGTTGCCCTTCTGTTGTCTTGTACCAGTCTTGCCACTCTCTGTTCTGCCCTAACATTGACTAGTCGCTGACGGTCACAATTCGCACATTCAGTCCCAGATTTTCGGCTGACAGTCCAGTCTTTAAACACTTTAACAACAGCTGCTCTTGAACATTTAACGAATTCTGCTGTTTTGCTGATACTCGCTCCATGGCTCCGAGCGCCAACAATCATCCCACGTTCAAAGGCTGTTAAATCGTGTTGTTTCCCCATATCTTCAGAAAAAAATCACTTCTACTATTGTGGTAAACAACCTGCTTCCCTATTTATAATGGTCTGGCCCTCTAGCAACTTCAGCGCAAAATTATAGCTAATTTGTCTACAAACGTCAGGTGGTCATAATAATCTGGCCACTCAGTGTATTTTCTTTCCTTTTGTCGTAGTCATCAATTCATTTTCTCTTGGTGTATTCTAGTGTTAGTTCCTGCTTAGGTCTGGTTTCTAGAGCGGTAATAGGAGCACTGTATGAATTTGAAAAGCTTCATAGAAGTAATGCCACCACATGGTTATCTTTAATTTCATCTCCAATTGCATATAGTTGTTCTATGGTTTCCAGCATGGCATTGATAAGGCTGTGTATCATCGCCTCTACCTTGGTGAAGCCGCTCCGTGTATATATGGACTTCCTAAGATACATAAGGATGGGACCCTTCTCAGGCCAATTGCCAGGAGCATTAACTCTGTTACTTACAACGTGGCAAAACACTTAGCCAGAGACCTAGCCCGTTTGGTTGAAAATACAAAACATCACATACAGAACTCTCAGGATTTTGCAATCAAAATCCAGAACTTAATATTGGGCACAAAGTAAACAATGGTATCTTATGATGTTACATCCCTTTTCACCTGCACCACAAAGGCAATTGAAACAGTGAGTAAATGGTTGCTACTGGACAACATCCTAGGCAGCAGAACATAACTTAACCCAGATCAAGTGTGTGCCTTTTTGGACCTTTGCCTGAGTACCACCTAAGATTCACAAACAAGAGTTACAGGCTTTCACTGACTACATCAACTCAGTGCATCATAACATCAAGTTTAGGAAGATATGGAAAACATCAAACTGGCTTTCTTGGACTGTTTTGTAACAGTAGAAGAGGGAAGGAGGCTGGAAATAGAGGTCTACCGAAAACCAACACACACGGGCTAGTACCTGCTATTTGACTGCCACCACCCTCTAGACCACAAACTGGGAATCCTCAGGACTCTTCACCACTGGGCAGAGAAAATTCCCACCCGCACAGAGGCAAAGATGAAGGAATTCAAACACCTCAGGGGGGCCCTTAAAACGTGCGGGTACTCAGACTGGGCCTTTGTCAAAACAGAAAGAAAAGGAAAGAACACCAAAAGTACCAGTGAGGGTGAAAAGCATGACAAACGAAATAATATGGTCATCCCATATGTAGCTAGGGTGACTGAGAAACTCAGAAGGATTTTTTATTTTTTTTAAATCAGATAATGTTTATTCATTTTTGCATAGTAGAAAGTACAAAAGGCACATACAGAAACAAAAACAAAAAAGAAAAAGAGAAGAAGTATCCATATCCGTAAGGATCAGAAAATGTAATTCGACAAGAACATACCGCCAGCCAATTAAAGACCACATTAAGTATCGGTTATTATGAAAGCCTCGTGAACACACTACATGAATATCGCAACGTACATATATATCTGTCCCTCCACCTTGTACTCAAGGGTCTTACATGTTTGACAAAGTAATGGAGTACATACATCTTGGGTCGCTAGGAAACACACGTGGACGCCATCTACGCAGAGATGTCCTGCCCACGGTATGTCAACCAGTTATCCCACAGGGAGTGAAACCGGGTCAGGGTGCCCCTTTGTTGAAAGGCTATGCGCTCATAAGCAATGATCCTATCCAATTCCGCATGCCACATCTTTAGTGTAGGTGGGGAAGAGGATATCCACTTATGGACTGCCAGCCTGGTTGCAGTGAATAGTGCACGTTTAAGGGCCAGGACTGTGTGATGAGTGAGGTCCGTGTCTTCTATAATGCCAAGGATGCACACCAATGGTGAATTAGGTAAGGAGGATGCAAACACATGGTTGAGAGTGTTTATGACCCTATCCCAGTACCGGACCAGTTTTGGGCATCTCCATAGCAGATGTATTAGGGAGCCACGCCGGAAGCCACATTTGGGACAACTGGAGTCAGCCCTTAGTCCTATGCGGAACAAAAATTCCGGGGTGCGATACGTTCTGTGAACAATAAACAGTTGAGTCAGCCTGTGCGTAAGGGATAGTGAGACCTGCGTGACCCCCTGTAGGACATCCTCCCAGGTGTCATCCGACACGGGGCCTACATCACCCTCCCAACCCTCCCTGCACCGTAGAGGGAGAAGAGCGGGCGACTTCAGTAACAAATGAGCGTACAGGAAGGAGATAATCCCTTTGGTGTTAGTGGCCAATAGTACTGTGTCAAGTATCGGGGTGGGCGAGATCACTGGTGGACCCCCTGGGAACTGGGACCTCAGGGCGTGAGCAATCTGGAGGAACTGGAAATACCACCTACTGGAGAGGCCATGTGTATCCACCAAGTGTTGGAAGTCACACAGTTTACCCTCCTGATAGAGCTGGGAGACTGATATCACCCCCTTAGAGGGCCAGTCCACAGTGCCCCGGAGAGAGAGAAGCTCCGGGAGGCGACCATTCCACCACAGCGGAGTATATCTAATGAGGGTAGAAATACCCAGCACAGTTGTGGCCGCATCCCAGACCTGCCCCATCAACCGCACGGTAGGAAAGGTAGAATGAGTCTTAACATACAGATCACTGTCCAAGTAATGTAGGGGACTCAGTCCTTGAAACAAGTATAGTAGCATATAAAACGATTG